CAATTGGGATCATTCGCCTGAGGATGTTGGGAGGAGAACCTAGGTGCAGTACACCCTCAACTGCAATGCCATCATGTCCAAGGCAATGCACCTCCTACCGAGCCCTTGCAACCATCTCACTAAATGAAGGCCTATTATTGAATAGCACAGGCATGATTTGTATGTCAACAAACTCAACATATCCATAGCGATCGTATTCAACGGTGCCTGCATGATATATGGTTACTAGGTTGTCTATCTAGTTCAAACATATAATGAAACACATGTCCTTTAGTCCAAATTAGACGATACATAGTACCTAACAAGTACTATATCTATGTAACTACCTAAATATGTAACTAAATATGTAACTACCTACCTAAGTAGCTATCTAACTATATCTATGTACCTATGTATCTATGATTCTATTTATCTACATATATATCTCACTAAATCACTAACTAAATCAACTATCTGAGTCATCACATTAATTAGTAAATAACAAATGCCAAAACTACTACACTACAATTAAAGCTAACTAAGTACGCACATTGTAAATTCATAATTTTTACCTGTTCGACGACGGAGTCGCGGACGTCGACGGAGTTGTAGCGGACGCCGGGCATGGGCCAGGGCAACGAGCCAGGACGGCGGGGGCACGACCAACAACAGCGGTGGCGGGCGCGGGATGCCCGGCGCTCCGCGCGGCGAGGTCGGCTCGGCGGGCGCGCCCTAGGCCGGTAGTGGCGGGCGGCACGGCAGTCCTGACGCAACCGCCTGGCCTTGGCGCGCTAAGGCGCAAGCAAAGCGAAGACGCCGGGCGAGGCGGAGGGCGCGGCGCGCGGGCGTAGGGACGGCAAAGCGGCGCTAGGGTGGGGTCTTGGCGCGACGCGTTGAAGTGTGGCGGCGTGGGCGCTGGCGTCCGGGCGCCCATGATCTCTGTGACCTCGGGGCGCGCTGAAGAAGCGTCGGGGCTTGGGCGGCGTGGTCGGCGGTCTGGCGGCCTCGGGGTGCGGGATGTGAAGCGTCCGATGTGGGCGGCGAGGGTGACACTGCGAGGGCTCGGGCGACCGGTGAAGGCTGAGGGCACGGGCGGCGGCGGCGGTGCTCTGCTCAGGCGAGGGAGATGCGAGAGAGAGAGAGAGAGAGGATTGGGGCCCATACGTAAGAAAGGCTCGGCGCCAAGCTCGGCGCCAAGATCTACGGCGCCGAGATTGGCGCCAGGGTGACTGGCACCGAGCTTCCTGCCATGTCACCGCCACGTTAGCTTCGAGCCCAAGAGCTCGGCGCCGAGACGTGTTAGTTCGGTGCCCGCAACGATGGCGCCGAGCTAAGGGTCCAGATTCTGAAATCTTTCCTCCAGGAGCATATTTGTGATTTTTTTTTAAAAAAGGCTGAAAAATAAAAAAATTCGGCTCATAGTGCGTAAGCTAAGCTAGATCTGCACCTTATATCTAGGTATAAAATAATCTAGGTATAAAAGAGGCACGTCCACAACTGGAATTATTTCGGGGACCTCTCCCAGTGAGAAACGGAGTCGATCCCTAGGATCGAACTCGCGTCCGGTGGTTCGCACACCAACGAACAAACCGGCCAAGCTAGCCTCGAATGCGATTTGATCCTTCAATCGATCTCACTTGTGGCTGGGCCATAACTTGGGCCGGTACTAAACGGTGGGTGTCTGCAAATCAAGCCCACAAATCACTTAAAATTCCGTCGAGAAGAAATAACTAGAGATCTTTTTTTAAAGTTGTACCGATACCATACACAAAATTCCAAGAATAGCCAAGTGACGCCCATTCGGTTTACCTTATAATCCATACTATTCAGCTTGGTTTTTTTTTTTCCAAGGAATAGTGTTTTCTCTCACAACAATTCAATAAAAACAGCGTTTTTAGCCAATTGAGCCAAGTTTCGGGCCAAACGGGCCAAATGCAGGTATATGCCCTGTGTAGACTGTACTCAAGTCATCCGACTCATTTCATGGAAGGTTGCCGATGAATAGCTAGGTTGTTGCCGTGTCGAAATGATGTGGATCTCCAAGTTCACCAAGGAGCCGAGGACCATTTGAAACACATGAGCAATTTCACATGAAACAGTTTAAAAAAAAACTAAAAAAAAAAACATGATTCAGAAACAACAATAGGAGGGAAGCAATCATTGCAAGGGAATTGGATTCTACGGTTCCCAACTACGGACGGAGTATCTCCTTCAGGAATGGCAAACGCTAGCTCAGGGCAGGTCGGGGGAGACTACGGGCATGCAGCACGTGTTTACCCGCGTCTTTCTGGTCTCCGCTCCTTCCACTGTTATTATGAACCTTCCCGACAGAGCCGCCTCGACCAGGCGGTCAATGCGATTTCCCGAACAGCTATAGCTCCATGCGCATCATTGGATCTCCACTCTTTAAGCCATTTCTTGGTAATCTCTCGATTACCTTCACTGAATGTTCTCGTCAAGGTAATTTATTCAGGTGCCTTTTCGCTCTCGCGCTGTTCCTTGAGGTTGCATCGCCGAATTGGCCTGGGTCCGCCTTGGACGGGGCCAAGAGGAGGGAACGCGCAATCGGCATGAACGGACCAACAGGGTGAGGAAACGTTGCATGGCAAGGTCATTTTCGTTTTCGGTGAATTACATGGACATTGCATTTCCAGGCTGCTTGGAATAACTACATCCACCTATATATACAGCACCTCGCTAATTGCGTGATTAGAATGAAGCATTGCCTCTCTCAAGTTCATCTGCATCTATCGCAGCCTTAGCTTCTTTGGGATCAATTCCTTCATTTCTTGGTTCAGAGATAGCATTGGCTGGTACCCCCCGCATGATTCCTGGTCTGAAACCTTAATCAAGAACAGGTGCTGTGTTCTGTGACCTCTGTCAGTCTGAATGTCCATTCAGGCATTCTCTGTCGGTCTGAATCTGAATGTTCCATGTTACATTTCAGGCCATCTGTCGCATCACTTATTATTATCATCAGGTTTCAGCATCAGTAGGGACCAATGGATGAAGAAAACGATAGCTCTACGAAGGTAATCGTTCCCATGAAGTTGCCTGGAGAACCGTGACTTCGTATTCCATTGTACATAGTCAGTCTGCCCTGTCCAGTCACGCTGTATGCATGCTTCTTCTTCCTTTTGCGCAGAGCATCACAATAGAAATGAAAGTATACATGCATTGCGACGCTTGCGAAAGGAAAGTGCGCCGTACCATCAGCAAAATCGAAGGTGAGAAAGTTATAAGAAAGTACTTCAGCTTACTTATATGCCTCGATCTGTTCGTGCTCGTGACGACGTTTCATCATCTCTGTCTAGGCGTCGAGACGATAGAGGTGGACAGGGAAGAGAACAAGGTCACGGTGACAGGAGATTTTGAGCCTGAGAAGGTGGTGAAGAAGATCAAGAAGAAGACCCGGAAGAAGGCGGAGATCTTGGCCCCAGAGGAAAATGAGGAGGAAGGCAATGGAGAAGAAACTTACGTTCCTTACGGTGATCCATTTTTCTACCCTGATGACCCGATGAGTTTCAGAGCTTTAGGCCGGAAAGATGGAACTTCCATTACTTTGATGTAGCTTTCAATCAATCAATCAGTTAACAAATATGTGCCTTATGTACATTTAGTATACGTTAATAAAATTAAATAATGAACAAAATTTCAATTGGCCTATTAGCTCAGTTGGTTAGAGCGTCGTGCTAATAACGCGAAGGTCGCAGGTTCGAGACCTACATGGGCCAGATATTTTTAATTTATTTTTCCCTCTGTGGATAGGTTTATTTTTTAATTTCTTTTTTTCCTCTCTGGGTAATATTTTTTTATTTCTTTTTTTCCTCTCTGGGTAGGTTTATTTTTTTTAATTTCTTTTTTCCTCTCTGGGTAGGTTTTCTTGTTTTCAACTAAATAAGCAAGCAATTTCTCTGCATGGGCCAGTTTTTTTTGTTTTCAACTAAATAAGCAATTTCTCCGTATGGCTAGTTTTTTTTTTTTTTTCAACTAAATAAACAATTTCTCTGCATGGGCCAAATATTTTTAAAATTTTCTTGTTTTACTCTCTGGGTAGTTTTTTTCCCCAACTAAATAAGCAATTTCTCTGAGTATGTGATGATGCCTATACTGTAACGATCATTATCGAGCACAAGTTATGTGACTCTTTCAGCCTTCATGTTGCAGCTCCCAATCTATGATGAAAACAGAATGCTCAGAATGTTACACAGTTAAGAGCTAATTTTGGGACTGACTAGACCCTTCTTTCTGGACATAAACACACATAAATAAATATACCAATATGTCAACAACAAACAACAATTATATCATGATGAAGGTACTTCCATCCCCCCAAAAGTAAACTATACCACCAGATTGATGCTATACAATCAACACTATTTGTACATCCTGGTATCCAGATTTGAATTGAGTTTCTCCAACTGTTCGGCCTCTAATCCACAACCACAACACTTAAAATGGCTTTCACCAGTACTATGAGAAAATTCAGATATCTAGGCAGCAACAAGCTAGTTACATTTGTAAGGAAGTTGGGACTATAATATTGGGACTCAAAAATAACTATGTTGCCGTGGAAACTGGTATTAGGCCTGTTTGGTTTCTACAGGAGCTCTTAAAATTTCTGTCACATCGAATATTTGAACACATGCATGGAGTATTAAATATAGACTAATTACAAAACTAATTGCACAACTTGCGACTAATTTGAGAGATGAATCTTTTAAGTCTAATTAGTCCATGATTTGACAACACAGTAAACATGTGCTAATGACGGATTACTTAGGCTTCAAAAATTTGTCTCGTAAATTAGTCTCCATCTATGTAATTGGTTTTGTAATTAATCTATATTTAATGCTCCTTATTAGTATCTAAATATTCGATGTGACATGAATTTTAGGAGCGACTAAAGAACCAAACACCCCCTTACATAGACAAACATTACAAGTGGATCCGTACAAACCCATGCAGCTACCAGAAATAATTTCACCTGAAAAAAAGAAAGAGATTCAGAACTAAAGCTGTTACATGCCTGTGGCTCGAGAATCCGACCAACCCAATTGCCGAGCTCGCTGTTCCCACATTGCTGTGAGTTTCTTCTCCTTTGAAATTGCTGCCTCAGACTGCTCCCGAGCTTCCTCGCAGGTCTCTGTAGCTGCATTACACTTTTCTGCCTCTCGCTGGTATTGAGTAGCCTGTCTTTTTGCTTCGACAAGAGTGGCGTTCATGTGGTGACTATGCTCCTCAGCTACAACCTGCTGCAGCTTGAGTTCCTCATTGAGAAGATCAACGAATTGCTTCTCCATCTCTTTGGCAAGCTCAGGGTTGTTTTTCCCACAATCTGCATATTTCAATACGAACGTTAAAGTGTTCAGTTAACATAATATCTTGATAACGGCAATAACAAGGTCAGGAAATTGTGCATTGAAAGAAAAAGGTAGATATAGAAAACAATGCAAAGAAGGTGATTCAAATATTTCGATAATTCCAGTAAACTCGGTGGCTATGAGATACAGGAAGCACAAGAACTAATTGTGCGGTGAGAAAGATTTGTGCAATCTTCATGAAGCAAATATACCGTCCAAATGAGAAGTATGTTGGTGAAACAATTATGTGCAAATGCAGACTTGACAATGACAGTGCTGGTTTCAAGTTTGCATTGCCAGTACTTGTAGGCTGCATTATAAAATAAAGCTACGATCTTAGCATGTCCAGGAACAGCAGCAAGCAATACATGCTAAGCTGCAAAATGCATGTCACTGGAGTGTCTAAACAGTGCCAAATCTAGTTGGATGGAAGAACCTCTGAGCTTCATTGGATGTTATGCATGTCAACACATACTAAAGATCACAACTAACTTTCATGTATGCTATATTGCTAGGGTAATAGTCTAATGCCAGAGACTTATGGAATACAAACCAAGATGAAGGAAAAGATCTTTTTTCTACACAATAGGATGCTTTTAAGAAGCCTATAGTAGGTCATTCAGTAGAGCGCATCATTAAACAAATATCTGCAGTTTCGCGCCTAATTATAAAATCCAACTCTTTAAGATATCACAGCACTGTTTCATAACATACTTGATAAGCTAGCTTTTAGTGTTCACCCCCTTGTAGCATTCAGCTTTTCTTTTCACATAAGACAATTTGAGGCTAAATGATTAAAAGAATGTAAATTTTCAGAAAGACAAATTTGACACATAATTGTACTTTCATTTCATAAGAACTAATTTGCTCGAGCATTTTTGTAGAGTGAAGAATAACCCAAGTAAAAGATTCCATAAGGTCTACAAATCACCCCGTGCATCATCATAGTGAGTTAGTGACTGAACTACTGAAGGTAGCAGATAAAGCCCCTTCACAAACTGAATTGCTCAGTTCAGCAAGAAAAGAACACAGTGATCCACAACAATTGCTGTCATTCTTTGACAAAATAACCACTACACTAATCCAAATATGATAAGCTTGCAAACCCATGCTTCAATTGACAGGAGTGTGAAGGAAGGACCCAAACCTGTTATTGAGAAGTTGGCAAGCCCTGCAATGAACACAAATTCCTGTCAGTAATGCGGACATAGCTGCAACTGGGGGTTTTCATCATAGACAATTAGACAGCAACTAAAACTAGATATTTGTTGCCCTTATGCATGCATCAGTTGTACCATAATTCATACAGTAATACAGAGTCACATGTGCTACGGCGTTCATCTGATGACCCTAGTCCCAACCAAAATACTGTTTTTTTTATCTAACGAATTATGGGTAGCACGCGCGCCGACACAGACCAGGCGAGGACAGTAGCAAGATCTGATACGAGGGACTGACCAGGACAGCTCACCTGGGGCGATGGACTTAAGGGAAAGGGGCGCCGGGCAGTCGCAGCTGCAGGGAGGGCACGAGGGGGAGGAGGCCGCCACCGCCGCGGTGGACGCGGGGGAGGAGGAGAAGCCCTTCTTGTAGCGCCAGTAGAAGGCGGGGCCGGAGACCCCGAGCGCGGAGGCCACGGCCAGGATCACCAGGCACCATCGCCCCAGCGCCGCCGCTGTCGCCGCGCGGCGCCCCCCGCCGCCCACCATCGATCCTCGGCCGTGGACGCGCGCGCAATGTGGGTTGGGTGGGAGATCGCCGCCCTGCCGACTGCGCCTTCGCGTAGTCGCTCGGCGTGTGCGAGTCAGTGAGCGTGACCGCCCCTGATTTCGCCTTGTTGTGGCTGGCTGGGCCGCGGCGCGGCGTGGCGGTGGTGGGCCTGGGGTGGTGAGGGGAACACTGGAACAGGAGAGTGGGGTGGGGGGGAGTGTGGGAAGCGAACTAACCGCGGATGGGCGAGGGGTCGGTGCGGAAGTGCGATGCGGAGGTGGAGGGAAAATGGCTGGTGCGCGCGGGGTTCCCGAGCGGATTTCCGGCAAACGACAGGGCCGCGAGGGGGCTATGGTGGAGTGAGCTTGGCAGCCTGCCACTAGCCCACTATCGTGCCGGTCGGCTGGTCCGTGTGGACCCAACTTAACGTTACCGCGCATGGACCGGGTGGTGTTAGGTAAGCTAAGCTAGACACCTTCGTTAAGGTCAACAGGTCATGATCAGATTTCTTCGGCTAAAACTATTAGGTGTGTGTAAAAAAACTAATAGGACAGCCAGTGTTTTATTTATCAGCTAAAAATTAACTTTAACACAAATAATCGACTTAGCAAAAAAAAAAAAGTTATAGAGCTAATAGCCTGATAGTTATATCTGTGGATCCGGGCCTTACAGAACTGGCCGCTAGCCAAGTCTCGTGTGTCACGTTTGAGTTGTGAACCCTTACCTTGATTTAACGATAATGAAACTATTTGGTCGTCCGGACGGACCGAGCTGCCCGTCACCCAACAAACCCTGCTTGCACCGGCGCATAGCCCCCGTCCGCATATGGCTCATAGCCTCTCGTCCACAAGTTCCCAGTTGCTGTTCTCCATTCTTTCAAAAAAAATCACCGCTGCGACTGCCATGGCGCCCTCCTCTCCTCTCCCCCATGGATCCAGCAGCGCCGTGCGCCCCCGACTGTGCTGTGCAGCGAGAGTTGGCTCGTCGGGGGCCTAGCGGACGGAGGTGTTGGGGTTGGCGGACGCGGGTGCTGCGGCTAGGGGGAGCTGGGGCATGCTCGTCGCGCGCGTGGAGCGGACGTGGCCCGTTGCGGGGCGAGCTCGGGGGGCGTGCGGACTGGGCCGGGGAAGCGCTAGTCGCGTGCACGTGGGTCGGGGGCAGAAGCGGACGCAGGTGTAACACCTCTGGTGTTACGAGCTTGCTTAGCACCTAGGTTAATGCTTGATAGCGAGTAAATAGCGAATGGCTTGTTTATTTGATTAAGCATGGAGAACAAATTTTTTTATAAACAAAGATAAAACTTATATTTAGTACTTAAATAAATTCGAAGTGCAACTATGGATTTGATGAATAGGTGTTGTTCCATGGTTTTTCTGATAGCTCAAAGATCGAATTTCGTTGAGTCGACAAACTAATGATTTGTGTTTAAAAGTGCTATCTTGGGTGAATTATATAGTGGAACCTACTTAAATAGCGCTTTAATATTTTGTTCCACGAATTAGTATAAAGTATGGACTATGTCATGCTATGTTGATTAGTTGAAGTCGACGAGGTTTAAACCTTGTAAAAAATTAAGACAAAAGTGTTAACAGGTGTTAAGTTCTAACAAGTCCCTCGTCAATTGCTAAGTCAGGGATGATATAGACGATGCTACTTTGGCATTTAAAATTTAACAAAAATGATTAAACAATATATCCATGTTTTGGTATAGTTTGATGATTTCGCGGCGAGTACCTTGGCTTGGTGTAGTTCGTAGGATGGTCTGACGTAGCGGGGTTACCCCAAGAATTGCTCGAAACTCCTTATAACATGCCAAGAACCATGTTCGATGTTCTGTTCACGAACCGGCGCGCTGCGCGACGAACTCATCTTGGCCTTCTCGTATCTTTTTCCCTAGTCACTCTTTGGTCGCGCCAATTGCTTTGCTGGATAGCCGGTGGTGGGGACTGTAGGTTGGTGAAATTGGTTAAGCCTTAGTCGGGCTTTTTAAGTGCCTTTTGGTCTGCTTTAAATAGCGTGCACGTCATCGTTTTTCATCTTTTGGTTGGTGTTCGCGGCCACCATGCCGCCGAGTGCTGGCCGACTACGGCCACGCGCGTCGTGGCATCGGTCGGTCTCGTACCGGCCAGGACCCGGACCGTATCGTCATCGCCTGCCTTTGCCGCAGCGCCGTTGTTGCCTCATTGCTTTGCGTTACGCTGCAGATGATGAGCGATCATGTTGAGCCGTATGCCCATGTCGTGTCGTGTCTCGTCGCGCCATGCTCGGCCAACACCACGCAAACCTGCCGCACTTATGCACGTCACGACACCGCGTGCATTATGTGCGGCTGCTGCACGCTTTGTCGCTGCGCCTGCGCTGTTGCCGTCTCGCGCTGGCGCTCGCCTTGGCCGCACGCGCCGCATTCCGACCAGCGAGTAATGGTAGCCACTGCTGGCCCCACCTCTGCGCGACGGGCTCAGTCACCATCCCTCGCCCCTCTGGACCTTTCTGACTAGCCGCTACCATCAAGCCGTGCCCCACGTGCGTCATCGTCGGTGGAAGCGATGCGCCAGCGTGGGACACAGTCGTAGCAGTCCCTGTTTCACCATGTACTGGGCATTGTAATTTAATTGCTTGCGCCTACAAGTTGCCAGACCCGTCAGCTAGCCCCACACTCTGAACCAGAGCCAATCTTGCGTCGATGACCGCCAATTTAGCGTTTCCCTCACCATCGGCCTTGAGCGCCGTCGCGGTAAGATTTGGGGGTAAGCCCCAAACCTATAGGTAAGGGATCAATTGTTGGCGTTTCTGTGCTTGTATTGATCCCCTAGGGCTGGTGCTTATCTTTGTTTGGCCAGGGCGCTCGTCGGCGACGTGGCGACGCGGCCATGTCCACCTAGGAGCGTCGCTGCCCTAGTCGCTCACAAGTGGCCAAGCTAGCTCGACCGTCCTTCGCTCCAAACGTCTCCACGGTGCGGACCGCGGTGAGCCCTTGCTGCTTTCCCACCGCCTCTAACTCTCCATTAGCATCCTAGGATGTCGGCGTGCTCGCGCCACCGTGGCGGGTGGCTCAGTGGCGCAGACAGAGTGCTGGGACCATGGTTTATCTCCCAACCGCTGTCTAGGAGCTCATCTTGGCCCCACGACGCTCGTCGGCTTGCTCGGGTAGCCGGTGGCTCGCTCTGTTGGCTGGCGTAGGTGTGTTGTGCTGGCCGGAGTTGCACCGCTACGCCTAGGCATGATAGGGGTTTCGTATTTGCGGAGGTGACATTTTTCGGGGTGCTCGGTGCGAAGTCTATTGCGGTTGTAATAGTGCGCGGAGTCGTCGTGTGATAACCGCGTAGTACGGGGACTCTTTTGCAAAATTGCAGGCGCTCAGGCGGGCTCCGCGTCTTGGGCCGCTCGTTGGTCCGGCCCGCTACGTGCGTGGATGTTCCACGTGGGCCGTGGGAGCTACTGGGCCGAAAGGGGATGCCGTCGGCCCTTTTCATTTTCTAAATGGTTTTCTAATATAGGTTTCTAGTTAACTTGTAAAATCAATATAAAATATTATTGGAATTCAAAAATTATGAAACCAAGTTTGTTAGTCTCCTAAAATCATGATCTATCTGCTAGTATATTTTGTTCACATAGTTTGATAATATTCTTGGAAGCCATATAATTAATTTGAGATACTTTATATTGTAAAAATATAAACTTGTAGGAATTGTTGTGATAAATTGGTAATAATGTTGGATCTAAAATTTTTACAGTAGATTCATAGCAATATTAGGTATTCACTGTAATTTTTGTAGACCCTTAGGGATTAGTTGTTAAGGTAACTAAATGAGCCCTAGTGCGTAAATATATATTTAATCAATCAAATGTCAAAAACAATTGGGGGTTTGTAGAACGAAAACAGTTTGGGAACAAGTCTTACTTAACGATGGGAATACGTAGACCAGCGTTAGAGCTACCTCGTTAGCTTGTGAGGCGTGATCAGATTTCTAAGCATTTCAGTTGTCGTTGATTATTTACATCTATGCATTTGCATCAATGCATATCATATAGGTACGATGATGGATCAACGGATCAATTAAAGGATGATTGGGAATTCAAAGATGGTGTAATGGTATTCTCTCCAGGAGATGATGCAATGGACTTTCTATTTAGTTGATGGTGGATGATCTGAAGATGCAAATACTAACTTTTGGTTATATTTTACCCAGGCAAGCCCCGGTACATAACCCCTACTTTTCTGCACTTTAAATTATATTTGTGCATTAAGTTTTAAGGAGTTGAATGAAACCCACTTGCATATATAAATCTTTATCCTATGAGTCTTACTAGTATAACAGGATCGTGTAGATTGCTATACTACAGGACTCCGGTAGAAGTCGAGTGATTGCCTGTCACTCGCGAGAGATAGGAAATATATTACTGTATTATTATCACTTGGAAAATATAAATGGTGGAAAGAAAAAATGATGACCGGGTAGGGATATGGTTTGGGTATTGGTGGGTGTAATAGGTTGTGTCCTGCGGCCAACGGGACATAGCTTGGTTACACTGTTTTCCCTGTCCGTGTCGGTTAAGGACCGGCAGTTGCATTGGACTCTAGGCAAGTCATAGACTTATTATCCCAAGCACATACTTGGGTATGGGCGCAGAGAAGACTTGTTACTCTCTTATCATGGGTTCTGGCTCTTTCCGGACCGACTGTTAGGGTGGTTTTTGGGTATGAGGTCCTTACACCGCACTGAGTCCGGAAGTCAGGGGTGGGGGCTAGGAGTCCTAGTTTGAACGGGGACCTAGACCCCATGATAGGAGGGTAGTGGGTTGGTCCTGCTTGTGCCTGGGGTACAAGCGGGGCATATTTTTTAGGGTACCCAGCTGGGGTCATTGATTCGCGAATCGTCGGGCAATCCGGTACGGCTTATCTACGGTCTAGCACCGTAGTAAGAACTAGAAGATAAAAGATGGTAAAAGGAAATCTTATTGCTTACCACCTGCTTGAAAGTAGCACGGGTAGTTACAT